TGTGGTCCTCATGCTTCTGTGGCAAGTGCTTTATCCGCAGACCCATCTCCCCACTCTGCTCCTCAGACACTTTGATATGGGCATTCTGGTCGTCTGGAAGCCACCTGGAGACTAAACCATTGTGTGTGTGTGTGTGTGTGTGTGTGTGTGTGTGTGTGTGTGTGTGTGTGTGTGTGTGTGTGTGTGTGAAGGACGCACCATAGTACAGAATTCAGTAGAAGTGGATCTGAAAGAAAGCGAAGTGATCTCTAGGTTCAGAGGGGAAGGAAGATAGGAACCGGTCAGATCGTGTACCTGGTTCAAGCTCCCTGCGCCACTAGAGGGAAGTCTGAGGAGTTGCGCCCCAACCTCCTCCTTGTCCTGCTAAAGAGAGGTCAGCCTCCTGGAAATCAGACCCCAGTTTCCTATGGACACAGGATCACAAACTGAACTTCTGTTCTAGAAAGCTGGTTTCATGCTATTAAAATGTTCACGTGAGCACTGATTAAATATATATATATTTTTACAAATAACGACGTAAAAATCTAACACTTAAGCCTAAATTCTTTTGGTCGGTAGAGATGGGGTTTGGATCTAACTTCACGTTGCCTTCAGTAGCAGAAGGGTGAGGGGTTTGAGCTCCAGGTACCCTCTCTCTCTCTCTCTCTCCTGGAGGGTTTCCTTAGAACCAATGCACCTGCTTCTCCTCGTAAGCGCCTCAGACTGTGACCAGGATTAGGGTCATCTGTTTTGAAAAAGCTTGTCAGTGATCGGATGTGCCTGCACATTTGAGGTCAGCACCGGCTCTGGGGCTGCACCTATTTCTAGCTGGGCCTGCTGCTGCTCCACATGGCCTGAGCTGAGGAGTCTCTGGTCAGCTTTCCTGGGGATGGAGGAGCGGGCGGTTTCCATGCCGTGTGCCAAGTATGCTGGGCACTTGGGGAATGTCGGTGACTAATGATGAGCTTATTAGAACGGCTGCAGCACGCAGAATGAGCACATATACTTGTTAATTTTATTAAAGGCAGGCCTTGAAGGTCAGATGGGCCCACTGTGCCTCTGCTGGATACTTCCTTGCTTCTGTGGTGCTCACAGGTGCGGCAGGGGCTGAGGCCATCTGTCTGGGCCTGAGGTCACTGCGGTCCGGGAGAAGGCCTCCACCTCACTGTCGCCTGTGCATAGGGATCTATTCAGATACAGAAGAGGAAGTCCGTGGAGGGGGTCAGTGGGGCTCCTTCAGGAGGGTGAGGGGTGGGCTGACTTGCCTCCAGGGTGAAGACACGGCAGGGTGGCACACTTACTGTGCCTCCTCATACCCTCGGGAGAGCAGCGAGCCTGGTCCAGTACTCACTGGGTAGACAGGAAAGCTCTTTCCAGTGGGATCTGCAGGAGAAGGAAGGCCTGGGAGGCTTCCTGGCTCACAGCAGATAAGGGAAAGGGAAGGATTGTGACGAAAGCAGACTGGTGTCGCTCCAACCTGGGTTTTCTAGTTAGATTTTTCTCCTTACAACATACACTTACATACAAACAA